TTTATGGTTCAATCGATGACTTGCCACAGAACTCTAGAGAGACGCTATACCTTGACTTTCATATCATCCTCTGGACGTTCTTAACAAAGCAGACACAAGTAACTCTTAGCTTCCCATCATATTAGCCTGAATGGCTCTTTTATTTCCTCACATGGGAGAGTCTGAAAATCAAACTATTTCCGGAGCAGGTTTAGGTTCAGGCTCTGGCATCAACTGACTAAGCTACTAACAAAATTATAGTAAAGTTGGCATTGGATCACTGTGCTTTTGTAGATAACTCAGCCGTTGGTTCTCAGCCTTTTGAACTGCTGATTTCGATATTGTATAGCATGAGGACCCACTTACATCAATTAAAAATGGCCGAGTCATTAGAAGGTATACAAATATCTGAAAATATAGTTCCAGATGTCACCAAAATTTACATAGATGTCTTATTCAAATCTGTTCTGTTTCTCATCCTTATGAGATACAATGCTATCTGAAAGAGTTCTGTCTTAGTAAAGGTGAAGAAACAAAAATTAACTGGAATTTATCACACTCGATGCCATATCACTGTTCTATCTTCTAATATCACTGCTCTAACGACAACAGAAATGTCAGACGATCAAATACATACACTGGGGGTGTCTGTGAGTAAGGTAACATAGAGCAAGTATTCAACACAACTTGTGAACTCCCGCCGCCCTGGAGAGTGTAGGTACTCACACTTGACGGACAACTGTTTAACCCGGGATTCATGACAATGTGCTCCCACACATTTGAGGGTACTCATACCTGCAGAGCATATTTTTAAACAATGTTCACATCTAGCCCATTTCCCCAGCTAGGTATGTAAGTGGATTTCTTAAGAACCCAATTTTCCTCCAGGAAAAATAAGGAGATTATATATTTTCCCCTCAAACACACAAAATGTGAGGTTTAAAAAATAAAAACAGGGCTTCCCTGGTGGTGCAGTGGTTGGGAGTCTGCCTGCCAATGCAAGGGACGCGGGTTCGTGCCCTGGTCTGGGAAGATCCCACATGCCGCGGAGCAACTGGGCCCGTGAGCCACAACTACTGAGCCTGCGCGTCTGGAGCCTGTGCTCCGCAACAAGGGAGGCCGCGATAGTGAGTGGCCCCCGCTTGCCACAACTAGAGAAAAACCTCGCACAGAAACAAAGACCCAACACAGCCATAAATTAATTAATTAATTAAATAAATAAATAATAATAAAATAAATAAATAAAAGCAAAACTTATTCCAAACACTCTGTATCGAATAATCAGGAATTAGAAGCTAAATATATTATTTAATAGCAGCACATTGATATTATACATGAAGTAAAAATTCACATTTTTAAGACACCTTAATTACCCGGTGAAATAACACTTACTGAGCCTCTTCCATGTGACTTTCTCAGTAATCCCCACAGCAATCCCATGAGGAAGCCACCACTTTTATATGTGAAGAAAATTAAGCTCAACAGGTATCAACCCCAGACTTTGAACTCTGCCATTATCTGTCAGTCTGGCTCTGCTCTTTAAGCACTTTCTACTCAGCTGCATGGAAGGTACTTAAAATTAAGTACGAAATTTTAGTTCAAAGGTTATTTACCTTTGAACTATGAACGAGAAATACTGGAATAAGAATACTGGAACAAAAATTGAGGTTCTCTAATAACCATACCCCATAATAAATACTTCATTCAATTGTGAAATTGTTTTCTTCATTTCTCTATGTTTTTAAGGCTACTTTTGAGGTTCTTCAGTAACTTCTGAAAGTGTCTCAAATAGGTAGGAGAGAAATTTCTTTGACTACCTATATAATTTATAACATCGAATTTTGCTGTAGGTATTAAATCTAAAACCAGGAAATACTTAAGAACTAGCAAAGAAACAAAAAACATGAAAAACCAAGAACACACAAGTATATAAAGCTAATAGAAAACTGAAAGTTGAGCTTAGTAAGCATGTGCAGAGTAAAAACTAGATCACTGTTTTTGTATTACTCTTCAAAAGATCTACAATTTTAATGGGGCTAAAATTTTTTTAAATCTCTCGATCTTTCAAGGCCTAATACTGTTTCTCATGTTACCAAAGCTACTCCTGTCAACTTTAGATGGTCAAGATGGCAGATTTCCCTGGAACAAATTGCCCCCCCCCAATTCAAATGAAAAAAAATAGCTCAACTTTCGTGAAGGCAAACATGTCTTTAAAGAAATGTAAAAGCCTGCAAGCTTTACAAACTTCAGAGTTATGATTATTTGAAAAACTAAAAATGTTCAACATACAATTTTTAAGCACACATGTACAATATATAATATTTTAAGGTTACAATTCAGGTATGTGCTCCATGTTTATAGAAAATACCTTTGGAGAGCTTTTATTTAAAAAAACAAAAAAAGATTTAAATAATTTAAAAGTGAGCGTGTGCACCTGCAGCAGCCAGGCTGTGGCGTCAGACATTCCCCACTTAATTGGACAAGTTACTTAAACTCTGTAAATTTTAATTTGTCTGCAAAATGAATTTTTACTGCATTGAGTTGTGAAGATTAAATGAGATAATGTTCTGGACGTGGTGCAGCAATTGACACACAGTAAGTGATCGTATTAATTCGCTTCCCCCCAACAGAGATCAGTCCTGTCAGTCATATGGGTTCAAAAGGCAGAAATAAATTATAGGTGAAAAAACAGACACTTAAATGTTCTATCAGGCTACAGGCCCGAAAATATCACCCCAGAAATGCGTTCCGTAGACACTAAATCATAAAACTAGCGACGTGTCGAAAAACAGAGAATGGGTCCAAGAAGTTATCTTTTTAAAGTCCGTATGGCTGATTCCACATTATGTCTAAGGTCTGTTCCTTGATTCAGGGTTATTAAACCAAACGGCTCCCCATTTAAACTCCTCCCCTTGTAGTTACAGGCGAAAGGGCCACCAATGGTAAATAGTAAATGTACTCTCTGTAAAAAAGCTTATTCCAGGGAATCAACCCTAGCTCCTTGGGTCTGACCACAAAGGGTGGCTTTTGCCTCCGTACTTAAACTTGGCGAAGTAGGGACCCAGGGGTTAAGAGACGCCAGGCGGTTGCCCAGTCAACTAACCCACATCCTCCAGGGGCCCGGAAGTGACGCAAGGCCCGGAACCTACGCGGTGCAGGGGCCAGCGACGATCACAGTAGCTGTGTCTTTGTCGTGATTGAGTGATTGGGAAAAAGTCGAAAAATCAAACAAACATGTCCCAAATCCCAACACTGACTCCGCTCACGACGAGCTAATGTCCCGCACGGTCCCCTCCCGAATAGCCAGTGTCGCCCAAGCCTTCCTGCAACCAGCCATTTTCCAGACGGGAGGCAGCGCGCGCGTCCGCGCCCCGCCCATGTCCTTCGTCACGACCGCAGGCCCCGCCCCCAGCGCGGGCGGGGGGTCCACCCCGCCACACACACCCCTCTCCCTTCCCCCGCGGGGACCCCTAGCCTTTTAACCATTTGGCTGAAAGAGCTGTGAAAGGCTGTGGCCCGGAACTTTCCCTGGGGTGGGAGAGGGAAAGCCTCCTCTATTCCCAAGCCGGGAGCCGGAGAGCCGAGGGAGGGACCTCCCCGGAGGCCGCCTTCGCAGCCCTCTCGCGCCCCCTCCCCCCTGCACGTTCCAATGCATCTGCTCTCAGGGGGTGGGAGCCCGAGAGGGGGGTGGGGAAAGCCAGGCCCCGGAGGCCAGCGGGAGTCCGGCCGCGGCCGGCCGCTCACTCCCCACAGTCCCCGCCCGGCTGCACGCTCCCCGGCCGGGGCAGGAGGGTCTGCGGCACCGGGCAGGCGAGGGCCGGAACAAATGCTTCTTAAAATGGCTGATTCCTCTCCACACCAGCTGCAGCCGCTGGGTCTGCAGAGGGGGCTGACAAGCGGCCACCACCCTCACCCTTGAGACCCCCGAGAAGTCCTCGCCGACCGCAGCGGGGGAAGGGAGGGCCGCGAACCCGGTCTCCAGTCCCGTTCCCCCGTCCCACACACCAGACACCCTCTGTGCAGTCGGGAAGACTGTCACAGGAGAAATGGAAAGTGGCACTTCCCCGGGCAGGCTCCGAGCGACCGTGCCCGGCGGCCAGCGGACCCGAGTGGGGGAGGACCTTACCGGCAGCCCCGCGGCCCCTACCTTGATATTTGTTGTCCAGCTCTCGCAGCACGGACACGTTCCTCTGCATGTCGTGGGGCAACGACTCCACGCACTCGAGGTAGTCCTGCACATAGCAGGTGAGGAGCCGGCTCCGCTCCCCGGTCAGGAGCGCGGCCGACGAGTAGAGTTGCTGTTGCTGCTGCCCTAACATCCTGCCGCCGCTGCTGCTCCTCGCCGCCGCCGCCGCCGCCGCCTCCGCATCCAGCAGCCACACATGCAACAGCCACGGCCGCCGCGGCTCCTCTGCTCGTCAGCCCGGCGCCGCGGGGACACCGGCAGCCGCTCGAGAGGGCACAGCCGAGTCCCCCGATCTCTACTCCCCGCAAAAGAAGCCCTCACTCCCCGCCCCCGCGGTAACAAGCCCAGGGGCGGGGCGAGATCGGGGCTCCCTCCTTTTCCCCCTCCCTCCTCAGGACTAGAGCAGCGGGGATCCCCCCAGCGGAGCTGGCGCCGGGGTCCCGGGCGTTGACACTTCCTGTCCCCCTCGGAGTCACCAGATGCTACCAATGCCGTCTCGTACCTCGGATCCCCATGACAAGCCTCTCGCTGGCCTCTTTCCTCCCAATCACCCTCAGTGCCTGACGGAGAGTCTCTCACTGGACCGCCCCCGCCCCTCAGGCTGCGGCCGCCTCTGCGCCTGCGCAGGACTCCCTCCTAATAAGGCCGGGGGCCCGCCCCTACCGCCCAGCCGAAGGGTTCGCATTCTCCCGCCTTCCCTCCGCCACCCGGGCGATTGGTCTGTCAACTCTTGGCCCGGGGGTAGGGTGCGGAGAGCGGCCAAACTGTAGGCTGCGCCCCGCCCCCTCTTAAAGGGGAAGCACTGTCGGGTCCGCCTCTTTGCTCAATGTCTGAATGGGACTTGAGAGGGCAGGTGGCTGACCCCTTCCTTCCGTCCTTCCCACAGGGAGGGGGAGGCTTGGCCCAGCTCCCTCGGCCCGTTGTTACCGACTTCTTCCCCATCAGATGGATGTAGCGCGGCCCGTCGCGAGCCTTAAAAGGAGCAGCAGGCGGCCACCTTACGCAGCGACCCGGAGGGAGTCCTGCGGGGACTACGCGGCGGGCGTGAGGCGAGCGCGGCTCCGGGCATGCGCGGCGGCTGTGTGCCCGCCGGGCCGGCACCGCCCTCTGGCTGTGTCTTCCTCCCGCCGCGGCCTTCGGGCTCCCGGAGCACCGGGGCTGATCGCCGAGGTAGGCGGTGCCCTCGCGGCCCCCTGCGTTTCTTTCTCCCTTAGTCCGTCCGCTTTTTGAATCTCCCTCCTGGCTTCTGCGAGCTCTCGCCCTTCCGCAGACGCGGGGGTCTTCCGCCGCACCAGGACGTGCAGGTTTTGTCCACCCTAGGGCTCCTGAGGAATCGCGTTTAGTTTAGGCTCACTCTGCCCCATACCTGTTTGTCCGACAGACAACCTTTAAAAAAAAAAAAAAAAAGTTTTCCCCCTGGGGATCAGAACGTTTAAACATAAAACGTAGGCAAGGGCTTCCTGGCGGCGTGAGGGGCACCACCACCTTAACATCTACGTAAGACTGAAAACCACTGGGGGCCGGGGTCCAGGGGTGATGGAGACGCGAGGACAGACCTAATCCGAAATCAGGCCCACGTCCTCATCTACGTGACCGGCCGACAGGGTTTAATTCCTATCTGGGGTTAAATGAAATGCCAAGCAGAGGAGTTGATTTTAATTCCAGATGGACTCAGTGTATATAACAGCGTGTATTTTTCAAAGAAATGGGTGTAAAGAGAACGAATACGCGGAGAATTTTAACGGAATGCCTATGTAAACAAGCACTATTGTGAGTAGTACATTTGAGTTAAAAAGAAAACGTGAGGGGGCGATAAATTGGGATTTCTTCTTATATCCAATTGGTTTGCAGCGGTGGGGCACCTGTATGATAACCTATTTAGGGCAGTTTTGAAACAGCTGTTAATAGTACGTAACCACTGACAGGGAAAGAGAAATCTAGACCTTGATCTAGAGGATATTTTAAATTTCAAACCGAAACAAAGCACTATTGGAAATTTGAGTCTTGGGAACAAGATAATATTGCTCAGGACTCAAAGATTGTCTTGTATTATTATCCTGTGACACTTGGAGGTTTTGACCACTTGAATATTATTAAGTCAACCCAGGCAGTCCAGTGTCTTGTATTTCTGAGAACCGTCTAGGGATTTTCTTGTCATTCTTTAAATCAGATTAAGCAGCCAGGTCTTGTCAAAAAAGTCACTGTTAAGAATTGAATTTTAATCACATTTTACTTAAACCCTACTATTTTTGTTTACTCATAGATTTAAATCAGCTAGTTTTTATTGAAGGCCTAAAATAATGCAAGATGCCTTATTATTTACTGATTCAGATTAGACACAGAACGCACATATGGATTTTATTCAGCCTGAGAAGTGATCTGCAGGCAGATATAACACATGGTTAGAAACTAGAAGTGAGAAAACGCAATGATTTATAATACGTAGAGCACTCCTTCCAGGAACCATGAACCGGATGAAGAAGGAAGGATGAGTATGGAAGTGAAGACCTTTTAGAGCATTATTTTGACCTTTCATAATTCTGTTGAACAGGCTGAAAGGAAGCAAAAAGTCTAAATAATGATTTTGCAGCTTGTGTTGATCTAAACCTATAAAGAACACTCTCATATGGTAATCTATGTGTGTATATGAATTGTCAGACATGTGCTTTTATTGCTATATTACTTTATAAAAGTTAATCAAAGACTTACTCCTGCGGTACTTGTGAAGGCAGATTGTGTGAAGAGAGTAAAAAAAAAAAATCACTGTACTCCCCAAACTCAGCCCTTTGACTTTGGTTATTTATCATGTCCTTTTCTTTTTAGGAATCACTTAACTGGAAATTTGGGGCCTTTTGAAATTGGGTTTCTGTACCCTGCTAAATGCAATATTTAAAAGTCCCCAATTCTCCACAATATAGAAGTTAATTGGTGACGTTTAATTGTATGAATAAAGCAAAAAGGCATCTTATTTGCTCTTAAGTATATTTTCTGAAGTAACCCTAAAAAAGATAAGTAACCTACACCCCCAAATTAGTAGAGCTATCTGAGGTTAACTTTAATTTCTAAATCAGTTACTGTGAGACATCCCTGGTAGAAATGTTTAAGAGATCTCTGGTAGGCCCTTATTTATACTGTAAAGGGAGGGGGGACCACTTCAAACTCTGATGGAAAACAAACTAGCAAGTAGTTCTGAAGGTTTCCTAGAGATACCTCCTGAGAAGATTCAGCTACTGCTTGAGTCAGGACAATTAAATATGAAGTCCTTTTTTTCTTTTTAATATTTTTTAAAACTTTATTATGGAAAATTTCAAGCACACACAAAAGTAGAGGTAATAGTACAATAAATCCTAATATACCATTCACCCAGCTTGAACATTTATCAATATATGGTCCTTAATATTTCACTCCCTTATCCTTGATGGATTATTATCATTTTCTCTGTACTTTAAATATGAACGGATAAGAGAGAACTTTTTAAAAACATCCACAATACCATTATCCCATCCAAAAATTATCTTACTGTCATTTAATATCCAGACAATTGAAATTTCCCTATTGTCTCATTAATATTATTTTACACTTGGTTTGTTCAACAGGATCTAAACAAATTCCACACTGCATTTGGTTAATGAGGTCTTTTCTAAACTAGTAAAAGGCAGATAATTCCCTATTTAATTCAGGGAAGCAGATAGCAATGTTTTTTCTAAGGAAGATATTTGGATTGTTAAAAAGCACTGTTCAAAATGTAGGGAAATTCAAGAAAATCACTTGAAACAAAATCCTCATATTGAAAGGTCACCAATTGATAGCCCACTGTAGAAATGTAATTGTACCTAATGCAAATAAATAAATCCTTTAAAAATCTAGACATTTGCTTTAGAGTGTAATTTGTTCTAGAAGGTCCAAGCATTTTAAATTGTACTGAAAAAACCTGAAACTTTAAATCAATTCATTAGTACAATAGGCGACAACAATAACCACAAATACTAACAGTCTACATCTCCACTGAGCTCAGTTTTAAAGCATTTTTGATTGCTTTATTGCATAAGTAGTACACCTTAATTGTAGAAAAAAATAAAGCAAAAAAGAAGACATATGAAATCACTAAAGACTGGAACTAGGTCTTCTCGGTATCTAAGTATACTCCCAAGATGATTCCATTTAGTTTTTTGTTTTAAGGAAACACTTTGTCTAGGACTAAAGGACAAAGTTAAGAAAATACCAGATTCTCGAGATGGAATATTGCTAATATGAGTACTGTTAGCCTGTACATTTAGTTTATGAGGTAGGCAGCGCAAATGGGTGTATACAATCAATCATACTATGGGTTATAGTACTGTGCAGCAATTAGAATGATCACTAACAGCAAAAGAGGATCCTAAACCTTTTAATCAAGGTACTGTGAATGACTGGGTCTATAGTCATAGAATTTTCAGTATGATAAAATGTCATTCCCATAACCAAGAAGAAGAGCAAACACGTATTATCCACTTTGGTTATCCCAGAGAGAAAAATAACACGTATGGTATACTTTGCATATTGCTGACCAGAAAAACATTCAATTTTCCCTGGATGGTTACCATAGTTACATGAGCCGTTTATAACATCAAGAGGAGGAACTAGGTCACAGTATTAAAGGAGTTTGAATTATGCAATTATGTTTCCTAAAAGCAGGGGAAAGGGTTTAAAATTTAGGGAAGAGAGATTTATACTAATGTTCAAAATTGAAATTCTAGTCTAATTTTGCTGGTGAAACAATAAATCTGTCTAAAATTAAATGGTTGATATTGTAGGTGTAAATAGTTTATCCTGTACAAATAATGTAATAGCTTGATCCATAAGTGTGATAAAAGAGATGCCAGCACATTCTGTCCTTGTCGATACCCCTTTATCTTAGTGAGCTACCTTACCTTAAAATGTTTTTGTAGATAATCAATAAACCCAACAATAGCCTAGAATCTTGGAGTAGCCAAAACATGTAAACTGAAGCTTTGACCTCTTACCTTTGCAAGTTTGAGATTAAAGCTTGGTACAATGCCTGTCATATGCTACTCTTAACTTGTTGAGATTTTCCTATTAATTTCATCAGAGAGACAGAGAAGGGTGGTAAAGAGGGAAGGTGTTGAAAGCCATGTTAGCATAGACTTCATCCTCTTTAAATTATTTGTGTTTCTTTTTTTACTAAGAACCTCAAAAAGATAATTTTATTCAAGAACTGTGTCTGTTGTATCAGAGCCCTGCACAGTGCTGAATAAATAGAGGTTGGATGAAGGAAAAGCAAAGAAGGGGCTTCCCTGATGGCGCGGTGGTTAAGAATCTGCCTGCCAATGCAGGGTACACGGGTTCAAGCCCTGGTCCGGGAAGATCCCACATGCCGCGGAGCAACTAAGCCCGTGGGCCACAACTACTGAGCCTGCACTCTAGAGCCTGCGAGCCACAGCTACTGAGCCTGCACGCCACAACTACTGAAGCCCGCGCACCTAGAGCCCGTGCTCCACAACAAGAGAAGCCACCACAATGAGAAGCCCGCGCAGCACAATGAAGAGTAGCCCCCACTCGCTGCAACTAGAGAAAGCCCGCGCGCAGCAACGAAGACCCACTGCAGCCAAATAAATAAATTTATTTTTTAAAAAAGAGAAAAGCAAAGAAAAAACTTCACCTCAAGGTTGCACAACTTCAGATGGTCATTTTTAATCTTCTGATCACTATAGACTCATAGACTCTGTATAGCTAAAACTAATCTTAGTTCAGTGATTTCCCTCAAAGGAAGAGAGAGCAGGCAACAGGCAGCCTCACTGAGTAGCTGGATGAGCCACTGCTGCTGATGTTAATTCATCATAACCATCATGTCTGTAGGGAAGGATGGGGAAGAGGTTGAGAATCCCTATTATAACGCGCCTCTAGACCAATTTTTTTTTTTACAGATGATAATATGGGGACCCAGAGAAGTTAAGTAACTTGTCCAGGGTCACACAGCAATTCATGAAATAAGTATACACTTAAAAATTTAAGAGTAAAACAAATATTAGTTAATTTTAGCTGATAATCATTGGAAAGGAGAAAAGTACCCATAGAAAAAACAAAAACTTGGGATATTATAAAATTACTTTTTCTGAGAAGTCTTGCAGCAAATTTGACAAAATTACCTCTAAAGGAAAATCAGAATTTCCTGAACAATAATTTCCAAAATAATCATAAAATCAAAAGTACTACAAATCATGTATCCTTTAGACATTTATTTTCAAGGGCAAATGCCTTATGCCTTCAGCTCTAGTTAAAATAAGAATGGCCTTTTAAAAATAAAACTCATGCTACTGGCCAGGAGCTTTTTGCTGAATCTTTTGTTCCTTGTAATGATTCTAATTGATTACTTAATGAGGCTTTATTGGAGCTGTTGTTACATTAATTGCTCTTGGCAAGGTTAATTTAATCCAGCACTTTGGTGAATATTGATTTAGCTTCTGAGGGTAAATTTTAAAAAATTGTTTATCTAATTTATTTCCGTAAATTGGAGTTCTCTGACTCTTATCTATGGAAACCAGTATATCTAGCTTTATTCAATATATCTTTCTGCAAAATTGTGTTAAAACCTTATTTTGCTACAAGTAATTTTATAAATTTATTTATTTTTGGCTGCATTGGGTCTTCGTTGCTCCGCGCAGGCTTTCTCTAGTTGCGGCGAGCAGGGGCTACTCTTCGTTGCGGTGCGTGGGCTTCTCATTGCGGTGGCTTCTCTTGTTGCAGAGCTTGGGCTCTAGGCGCACGGGCTTCAGTAGCTGTGGCTCGTGGACTTCAGAACGCAGGCTCAGTAGTTGTGGTGCACGGGCTTAGTTGCTCCACCGCATGTGGGATCTTCCCAGATCAGGGCTCAAACCCGTGTTCCCTGCATTGGCAGGCGGATTCTTGACCACTGTGCCACCAGCGAAGCCCCTACAAGTAATTTGAAATGTGCTGGTTCTATAAAATAAAAGACCCACATTTTAGAAATATTTAACAAATAATTTACCTCATTTTCTTTTGTTTTCTAGACTGCCCTCAATTGTTTTCTGCTTGAGAAAACATAGGTTGTGTCCTTCATTATCTATCTGCAGCCACGGTGTGGCATCTTTTGCTTGCTCTAACTGTGGTTTACATTCCAGATCCTTTAGCATAATACCCTTTGGTCACAGAAATGACATCTTCAGGGAGACGACTTTGAAGAAATGCCTGAAAGTGACAGTAGAAATACTTTCTTCTGTTACCTGCTGAAAGTAAGTACTAGAATTAGATTAAAAAAACAAAGATATAAAAGATATGGGGAACAATTTCTATGGAAAGTATTAGAGGCTAAAAAGCTTACTGTTATGGGAAAATAGAAGAAACAGAGAAAGGAATGATTACTTCAGCCATTAACGGTGGTGGTACAACAGAATTAAAGTTTAGGGACCATGATATTTAAATTATATCTACAGAAACTATTTGTTACTCCTTTATGCATAACAAAAAGTGCAGTTGTAATACAGGGTTGGACTAATAGCCTATCTAACGTAATCTTTGGAGAGTGGCATGTTGATTCAAAAATAATTACAAAAGAGCCTAGTGACTTCCTTACATGATGTTAGTTTTATTATTTTTTTAATTTATTTTATTGACATATAGTTCATTTACAATGTTGTGTTGATTTCTGCTGTACAACACAGTGATTCAGTTATACATATATATACATTCTTTTTCATATTCTTTTCCATTATGGTTTATCACAGGATATTGAATATAGTTCCTTGATGTTAGCTTCAGAATATGCCTAACTTTTACTCTTCAGGTAAAATATCTCTGGAAGAATAGTCCAGTGTTATCTATGGTAGCAGTTTGCCTCTGATTTAGAGCCTGGGGATCTGGAGTTGGAGGGAGACTTAGTTTTCACAAATATCATTTTGCACATTTGATTTTTTTGATACACATATTGCTTTAACAAAATTTAAACTTTATTTTTAATATAAAAAAAGCAAAAAGCTTTCTGTACATTCTGCAATAACAAAATGCATATGAATACTACCCACTGGGAAAGGAGCACATGAGTAAATACACTCAATATTTAGATTTAGTTCACTTTTTTGAGAATTTTTCTGGTACTACTGCTAGTAATGTCTATACTTTACATACTAGCATTCTAATTGCAAATATATTGTTACACAAAAATAAAATTAATAAATACCACATTGTTAATCTTGAAGCTTTTGAAGACGTCACACTTTAGACACTGATCTAGGCAGTTTTGGCTCAGAAATATATTTTTTTGTGAAGTTTTTTTATCAGTTTAGGAGAAGTTATGTGTAGCTTTTTTCTCATTCAGTATAGCCCTCAACTTTTTAAGAGCTTTCTAAATTTTTGTGTGATCTTACTTGAATACCTTAGGATAAGATGGAATACTTCTCTTATCATTTTTATGAGTTAAATGTTTTAAAAATTCACATTCAGGCTAATGTTCTGTGTTCATGCCATCTATAACTTGTACCTACAACCTCAGAAGGGAACCGCGAACTGTGTCCACCCCAGAAGGAGTCCTTCCCTGATGCCTCTTAGTGAGCTGTGGTCTTCTCTATAGGATTGAAATTTAGCAGAAGTATCTAATGAAGAGGAATCTGAACATAGCAGTTGAGGAAGGAAAAAGATTGGGAGAAGAGCCCAGATGTCATAAGGCAAAGGGAGGGTGAGGTACAGGAAGCAGCTATTATTATTTCTGTTGCGTGGCTCAAAGAACTCCAAGAAATTGATTCCATTCCACTGGGCATAGTTTTCAATTTAGGATAGGAATTTATTTTTTAATAAAATTGATATTAGTGGAAACACACGGGAAACAGACAGGAAAACAATTGAACATAGTGACCTGAGTGGTTACAATACCTCATATAAAGCATCTTTTTCAGAATTTATTCTTCCGTGTGTGGTGGGTTGCTTTCTAGGTAAGAATGGGAGTGACAACTCTGCTGTAATGAATAATGGCCTGGGTGGGGAGCGGGAAGGAGAAGCCAGGAGGGAGTAACAGGGAAATGAGGTTATGTGGAAGGAAGGAGATAGATTCAGGAAATTTCCAGGAGGTAATATCAACTGGGTTTAGTGACTGTTTTTAGGGGGCGGGGCCATAAGGAGGTGGTGGCAATGTTGTGCAGAATAGAAGATCCAGGAAGCAGAGCAGGTTTGTTGGGAAAGATACAGATTTAAATCATACAAGGTTCATAACCCTGTAGGTTTTTTTTAGGCCTCCTCTTCCAAACAGCATAAACTATTGCTTCCTAGATGTAGCCTGCTTGTCTGTAAAGAACAGCCAGCCATAGAAACTGGAGGCTGGGAATGTGTTGGGAAGGGTAGAGAGACTAGAGGAAATGATTTAGATGTGCAGTGGTCTTAAAAATATTTTGCCGCAAGCCAGGACTTAGCTAGCTTTGTATCACTTCTATTAGTAAGACGGGAGTCGGTAATAGGGGATAGCAAGGATGGACAGACCCTTGGGAGGAAGAGTTAATGCAGCAGGTCTGGTTGCTTATTCCTTGCATGTCTCCAAGGAAACCATGACTGACCCGGCCAACCCTGGGAATTTGGCTTGTGGAATGTTCTTTATGTTAGTGACAACTTTGTTGTGTACACCTGGAGAAATGGAACACGCCATACTGGCTTGTCAGGTTGCTTTGCACAACACGTACACCTGGTTTCATCGTTGGGGTCCTGAGTCTCAGTTGCCATAGCTGATTGTATAGCAGAATGTGTGGACATTAATAGCTCCCCATAAAAACCTTGGACCCTGAGACTCAGATGGGCTTCCTCAGGTAGAGCTATTCCATACATGCCTGTAGTTTTGCTGCTAGACAGAGAGAATTCCTTGCAGCTTCAGGCCAAGAACACTGGAAGCCTGTGCTGACCTCTCTGGACTTTCCCAATGCATCTTTTTCCCGTTGGTTTTGCTCTCTCTCCTTTGCTGTAATAAGTTTTAGGCATGTTTATAACCTGCTATTGAGGCTTGTGAGTGATTCTGGGATCACCAAAGGAAATGACCATATATAAAGTTCTGAAGAAATTTAAAACCCAATTTGTCCATTTGAGCCTCGATAGGATTCACTGAAAAAAGAATAATCAACATACGCAAGTATGTGCTATGTATGGATTTAAACAGAATCAAATCTTTGGTCCATGTCCAGGAGACATTTATAGTTTCTGTAGGGATATAGAACACATATATAGAGTGTTAGGAAAATGTCTACAGGCATAAGTATAAATAAAATCAAATTAGCAATAAATGTAGAAGCAAGGCAGAAAAAGAGAGTAAAATTTGTAGGAGTCAATCATGGTTCATGGAAGATGGTGCGTATTTAAGAAGAAATATGGGACCATGTTGTCAAATAATAGCTTTTGCTTTTCTCCTTCATATGCACTTTCACAGTATGTAAAAGAAAATGAAATGAAAACATTTTTTTCTGGATTTTATCTGATGAGTGCTGAGTCCAGCAGAACTTTGACTGAATTATTTGTGTGGAATCAAAATTTGCACTAAATCAAAATGTAAGTATTCTATGTAACAATAGTTTTTGAGCCTACAGTTATTAATTATGGCTATGAGTTAATATTCTCTTATATTATCATTCCAAAGACTCCACCCAACTCCTGTTATAATCAATAAATCATATCTAGTATTTCTTCAGCTATTTAGTTAAACTGCTTACAGCCAAAGATTAAGAATGGACTTTGAAAGTTCTGCTTCTGGTACTAGCCAGATAGGTCCCCTCACCCTCCTACAAATAACAGCTATAAATTCTGGATAAAATATTTTAAAAATACCAAAAGGCACTGGAAAGCAAGCAAAAGAAGGCAAATTCTGGAGGGAAGTCAATACTTGGAAGAATGAAATGGCACTTAAGGCGTTTCCTATTTTTATGTCTTTAGCCTGCAGTGCCCAGTTTTGTAGGATGACTTAAACTTAGAAACTTGCAGATGTACTGGCTCGAAGAGCCAGAGGTTGGAGACCAGGGCAACCACAGTGTGGTACAGGGCCTAGAATTAATATCATGTACTGCCTTGACATCTGGTAGAATCAGGAATGTTATGAACAGCCTAACACCAAGTTCCCTTCCCCATCTGCTCCCATGGTCCTAAGATCCCCTAGCCAAACAACCCTTCTTGTCTCGGGGACCAGGTACATTTCCTGCTTGTACCTGAGTGGCAGGTTTCATTTCCCTGCAAGCCTGTGGAATTATTCAAAGAAACCAATCCCATCCCCCGACAGGAACCAGGGACTACCTTGATACTACAAAATCTGCCTCCCTCAGTACCTGGTTGTTTGCTGTGTTCTCTGGTGTAACCCTCATGTGTCCCTGAATGGTGTCTGGTGTCCTCCCCCAGGCTATGAGTATGCGTGACTAGTAAACTGCCATCAGTCTCACCTGACAAGTGCTGGGTGTCATGTATTAGGCCATTCCCATAACCCTAGGGTGGGAATCCTTGCCTCACCAAAGAGATGAAGAAGAGGCAATTAAAAGAACAAAAATGGAAAGTGGAGGAGAAATCCCAGAAAGAAGAGAGTCACAGAGAGGGAGCCTTAAAGTCTGTGTGGAAACTGCCCAAATCTCTAGCTAATTCCTAAACCACACATGTGCAAGGTGGACTCCAGGCAGCCCAGATAAGGCCAAGAGCACTGCACTGAGTTAGAGTTTGAGTTCAGCCAAGTGAACAGAATGCCAAAACAAAAACGTTGCTGCTCTTTAGAGAAACATAACAGAACTGAGCATCTGAGATGCTCAGTACATCATTCACTATGTCCAGGATGATATCTAAAACTACTAGACATATGAAGTATGAAAATATAACCCCAAAACCAATCAATGGTGACTAGCCCAGGATGACTCAATTGTAATTCGAGACAAGGATTTTTTTTTTTTTTTGCGGTATGTGGGCCTCTGACTGTCTCGGGAAGCCCCGAGACAAGGATTTTAACGCGGATCTCACAACTATGCTCAAGGACTTAAAAGAAAACACCCTTGTAATGAATGAAAATATAGAACATCTCAGAAAAGTAAAGAGATTTTAAAAACTGAAAGGAACTTCTAGTACTGAAAAGTATAATGTCTGAAATAAATTTTTCACTGGATAGCCTTAAGATCAGAGTGGAAATAACAGAAGAAACTGTCTGTGAATTTGAAGTTAGATCAATAGAAATTATTCAATATGAAGATCAGAGAGGAAGAATACTGTAAAGTGAAATAATGAACAGTACCTCTAGGTAACAGTACCTATAAGGTAATACTGAAAGATCTAACATGTAGGGTTCTAGAAGGAAAAGAGAGAATGGGGCATAAAAATTTTTTTTGAAGGAATATGGCCAAAATGTCCCCAAATTTGGTGAAAGACATAAATAGCCAGATTCAAGAAGCTCATTGAAGCCCGTGCAGTCTATAATGAAAATCACATCTAGGTACAGCAGAGTCAAACTACTGAAAAGCAAAAGCAAAGAGAAAGTTTTGAAAGTAGCCAGGGAAAATATTATTATATGAGGGGAACAAAGATTTGAGGTACTACTGACTTCTCATGAGAATCAAGTGAAATGACATCTTTAAAGTGCTAAAAGAAAAGAAAGAAAAAGTCAACCCAGAATTCTCTATCTAGAAATATCTTTCAAGATGAAATGAAATAAAAATACCCTTCAAGGGCTTCCCTGGTGGTACAGTGGTTAAGAATCCGCCTGCCAATGCGGGGGACACAGGTTCGTGCCCCAGTCCGGGAAGATCCCACATGCCACGGAGCGGCTAGGCCCGTGAGCCACAACTACTGAGCCTGCGCGTCTGGAGCCTGTGCTCCGCAACGGGAGAGGCCGCGACAGTGAGAGGCCTGCGCACCGCGATAAAAAAAAAAAAAAAATCCTTCAAGAATGAAGGCAAAATAAATACACTTTCATTTAAAAGAAAACTAAGAGAGTTTATCATCAGCAGACCTGTACTACAAAAAATGTTAAACGAAGTTCTTTAGACAGAAGGGAAATAACACTAGATGGAAACCTGAATGTTCAGGAGGGAATGAAGAACACCAGAAAGGTAAACATAAATGGCTTTTTTCCATATAATATCTTTAAAATATATAACTTTAAAGCAAAAATTATAATGTTATATAATGGAGTTTATAATACATGCAGATGAAATACATATGACAACTATAGGTTAAAGATAAGAGGGGAAGTGTAGGGTTCTTGTATTTTATGTGAAGTGGTGCAATATTAACTTTAAAAACACTGAAAAGGATGTGTATTGTAAGCCCTAGACAACCACACACACACACACACACGCACACACACAGAGAAAACCCTAAAGGTTTTGCTAAAGTTAATCAGTTAGAATGGAATTCTAAAAATTGTTCAAGCAATCCCAAAGAAATCAAGAAAAGAATAATGAGGGAGCAGAAAACCAGATGAGACAGACAAAACAAATAATAAAATAGACCTAATCCACATCAATAATTACTCTAAATGTAAATGGACTAAACAATCTAATTAAAGGCAAGAATTGTCAGGATGTATTAAAAAGTAAGACTCAGTTATATGTTGTCTACCAGTGATGCAATTTAAATATAAAAGCACTGATAAGTTGAAATTAAATGGATAGATAAAGATGTACACAAAGTATAAGCATAGGAAGGCTGGAGTGGCTATATATTACATAAAGTAGATTTCTAGACAAAGAGAATTATTAGAGATAAAGAGCAACATTTGATAATGATAAAATAGTCAATATATCAAAAAGACAATTATAAGTGTGTATACACTTATAACTAACAGAGCTTCAAAATACACGAAGCAAAAATAGGTAGATTGAGGGAAGAAATAGACAATTCCATAATCATAGTTGGTAATTTTAACACCCCCCTTCCTCAGGAATCAACAGGAAATGTAAAAAACAAAATTAGTAAAGGCATAAGATCTGAACAATACCATCAAGCACCTAATGTTTAACTGACCAACAAGTGCAGAAGAATGAACTAAAACAATTTTTATGATGGATTTGGAGATAGAGGTCCTTCCCTTTTACTGTTGAGTCATATTCTATTTACAAAGTTATATTTCCATTCTGCCCTTTGACTGATTAAAATTACAAAATACATTTAAATTTTTTTCCAAATTTGAGCTACTTTGTACTGTAATAAATATCACTTATCCTGAAACTATGACCATTTCCTTCCTGAGAGAAGTAATGAGTTTATTCTAAAGAGAAAATAGGGGCTTCCCATAGCTAACTCTCATTCCTATCTTTAAATTCTCCAGAATGTTTTAATATATATATTCTACCTCCTACCTTGCTTGAAAGTAATTGACCCAGAAATATATTTTTCTGTATATAGCATATTTCCCTTTTAGTTATGTGTAAATTCTGTTTTTATAAATCCAGTTAAAAAAAAAACTTCACAGATGAAGGAATAGGCTTGAAGAGATTAAGTATCTAGGCTAGATTCTAGCCTGAAGTCAAGTAGCTCCTGAATAGTGGAGTCAGGTATTCTGGTTTCTAATAAAAGTTTTTCCATTATCCTGACATAAATTAAAAGAATCTTTTAATAATACAAATTCTCATTTTATTTGTTGTATAAATTTAGACTTTTATAGAAGTATTGTCTTAAAGTGACACCTGTTTGCTTTTTTATAACTGCTTAACTATTGCAATGTATTTAGCATTTTTATAACTGATGAGAAATATTTAGTATTCTCCATTATTGCATAGTAGTAATTGCTTCCAACTTTGCCACTACAAACAACACTACAATGAGCACTTACTTGTGAAGTTCCCTTGTGAACCATTAAAAACTTTCTCTAGAGTATATCTAGGAATGAAATTACTAGATAATAACATGTGGACTTTATCACTTCATTAAATACTGCCAAATTGACCTCCAAAAGGGCCACACCAATTAACACTCCATGAGTTGTACATTTGGGTTCTTCCTTCCTTACATCCTCACCATCACTTGTTTCTATCCAACTTCCTAATCTTGTTTAATTTATTGGATTAAAAAAACCCATTATTTTTTCAGTTTGGATTTGATTACTGGTGAGGTTGAGAATCTCTTTATGAAAATTCTTTGACCATTTTCTTTTATTGATTCCTGTTTCTTTATTTTTCTTACAGGTTTGCATAAGTTCTCTGTAGCTATTTTTCCCCTTATTGGTTTTCAATATTGTAAATATCTCTTCCCAGTCAGTTACCTATGTGTTAACGTTGCCATTATGTTTTCTTTGAATGAAACTACTTAATTTTGGCATACTTATATATCCACTTGTAAATTGAGAGGCTGCTTTTAAGAAATTTTAAGGAAATTTTCCTCTTTTTAATAGGTTTTTAAAAAATGTTTCACACCTTTAATCCAACTGGAATTTATTTTTGTATATGGTGTATAGTGGAGACAAATTTTTATTTTTTCTTCCGTGAAGCAAACCACTTTTCTATCATGCATTGAATCATCCTTCTTTTCTCCTATGATTTGTTATACAACCTCTGTGTGACTCAGCCCTCGTGCACATTCCTGGCTCT